GGCGTAGTAATTTGACCTTGAAACTCCACCAAAACGAATGCCGATTCCCGAAAGTAATCTCTAATGTTACAGCCAGACAGTGCATGATCTTTGTTGCACAATTTAAACAGGAAGGTGATTTCTGTTGCGTTGTTGTGATGCCTTTTTAATCCTTGTAAGAAATCTCATCAAAATCCACATTTTCAGGTAAAGTCGATTTTTAACTTGTGCAGTTGTCTAAAATCATGTTATCAACACTTTTGTTACATGTCTTGACGATTGTTTGAACACAATAGGTAATTAATAGATTTTATAAAAATACAAAACGCCTATGCGTTTCTTTTTTTGGATAGTATATGTTATGAGTATTCTTATTGACTTACAATGATGTACAGAAAATAGGCATACATCTCTCTTACCACTAACCCTAATCATCTCCCTTTCCCCGGACTGTCGAAAAGGAATTTGGACGGATTATTTGTTGTTGTCGACAGTCCGGGTATAAACCAACCCAAACAGTGGTGGTCATGGACGGCCAAGTGGTTAAAGCGTTGGCTCGTCACGCTAGTTCGATTCCCACACATGGGTACATTGTGTGAAACCCATTTCTGGGGTCCCCCGCCGTGATATTGCTGAATATTGCTAAAAGCGGCGTAAAACCATACTGACTCACTCACTCAACTTTCTAGATTGTGAATGCATGCTGGCCGTTATACGGCAGTAGCTGCTGAGGAAATCAGGCTGTTGGTGCTGCCAAGGTCAGGGTGACATACCAACAAAATGCATTTCATGTAGTTACACAACCAGAAATTATTGAGAATTTAAAGATTGTAATTTTTTTCCCACTCATTACTCACGTATTAAATTTGAATATTAGCAGAACATAACTCCAGATTCAAAGACAGGTGAACAGTTAGTATTTTGTCAAGTCACCATGGGCAGCAATGCAGGCTTCAATGCGGCAGGGCATACTACTGATCAAAGAAGTTAGAAAGTCGTGGTCCATGCTGTCCCAATATCGGACCACCTCTTCTTTCATTTCAGCAATATTTGTCAGATTTTTCTTATTGACACTTTCCTTCATAAGTCCCCAAACAGTTTCTATTGGATTTCGGTCATGGCTATTGCTTGGCCAATCTAATAATGTCATATTTTGGGTCCGAAACCAGGCCTGTGAATGCTTTGAACGATGTTTTGGGGCGTTGTCCTGTTGGAAAATCGAAAACTTTCCATAGAACACGTGAGCAGATGGAAGTAAATGTCCCTCGAGAATATCTGTGTACCGCTCACTGTTCATATTCCCTTCAAATACACAGAGGGGCGTTGCCCCTAACACAGATATGCCACCCCACACGTTATATTTCGGACTGTACTGGCGCTGATACAAAGGTTTTTCAGTTTGTTTGGTCCAGAATTTCAGTGTATTAGGAAACAGCCACACAGAACTTTCATCTGAGAAAATCACATTGTCCCAGTCAAAATTGCTATGCTGTAAGCACCAGTTCAACCTTCGCTCCCTTTTTCAGGTTTCATGATCGGTGATGGAATTCCTCGACTTTTCTGCCAACCCATTGCATGCAGCTCAGTTCTAATTGTCTCCTTACAGACGGCCACAGTTCCTCTATCAATCATATCCAGCCTTAAGTTTTCTAAACTCCTTCGTTTGTTTTTAGAAACAAGAATACCAAGCCGCCTCCTGTCACCGACAGTCAATTTTCTGGGCCTACCTGCGCCTCCCTGGTGCTCAATGCCATATCCATTTGCACTATTTTAAAAACACAATAAACAGTGGACAAAGGGATGCCTGTTCTACTTGAAATCACTTTAGCTGATCTGATGTCCTTGATATAATACTCTAAAATCAACTTCCTCTTCTCTAGACCCGTGAAGATCCGGGGTAGAATAGGTCTTCAGCAACCCATGTGCTTGCCATAAAAAGGCGACTATCTTGTCGTAAGAGGCGACTAACGGGATCGGGTGGTCAGTTTCGCTGACTTGGTTGACACATGTCATCGGTTCCCAATTGCGCAGATCGATGCTCATGCTGTTGATCACTGGATTGTCTGGTCCAGACTCGATTATTTACAGACCGCCGCCATATAGCTGGAATATTGCTGAGTGCGGCGTAAAACTAAACTCACTCACTCACTCACTCCTCTTCTCTAAATCATCCATACTGAGGATCACTGAAAATGTCGTCTGCTAGCAAGTAAACAAAGGGTCATAACTCTTCACAAGCTAATGAAAAATGATTAACGGAGTTGTCTCTCTTGAATGAAACCAAGCACTTGATAGCTGGTCAAGGTTGTTTATACTAGAAATCCAATAAAAACATATTCCTAAAATTCTCAATAATTTCTGGTCATACTATAACACTGACTGTGGTTGTCAGCTGCAACTCGTTTTTCATCACTTTATTTCTTTTTGAATTGGGTGCAGCATTTCGTACACGTTTAACAGGTCGGGATATTTGTAGTGTATACAGTAAGTCAAAATTACAGTCATTTTCTACGTAAATACAAAATATAGATTGTGACAAGACGACCGAAATGAAACAAAAGTGTCGTATTTGCACTGATAGTAGGCATTAAATCTATGCAATTGGTAATTGTAATTAAATTTGCTTTCGGGCGAGATAGGGACGGAATAAGTTTGCTACGTTTCTGGAAGTTTGTAATTTATAGTTACTGAAAAAATGAAATTCAGTACAATGTACATGATTTCTTCTCTCTTTGAATCCGAAAATAATGGTTTAATTTCAAATGGGTGTCTGTTTCATTTTCAGTCCATTGTAGAAGATCTTGCCACAGCTTTTTGACATATTTGCATTCACGAAGTAGATGAATGATCGATTCAACATCACAAAATGCACAAAGTGGTGATTCTATTAGTTGGTTCTCTGAAACTTAGTAGCCAGAAATTTTGTCGGGCTGCACGGAAATATGATGTGATAAATTTCCCTGAACAACAATGCTTTGTTTACAAACCACGTGACATGTATTTAGCCATTGTTTGGGGAGATTTTAGTTCCTCCTTCGTATAATACATTTAACTCTGGCTGGACAAAGAGGCGCGGAAGGCCTGACACCGACAAGTACTGTCTGCCGTTATCCTCGAGCAAGCGTTTTGACTGACGATGATCTGAGTGGACCAGCACCAAGCGACGAACATAGATAAGGTAGGTTGAGTAAATATTTTCTCATTTCATTAACTTGAACAATGATGTCAGGTCGTCATGTGGTGTATGTTTCAAACTCTTATTTTATCTCCTGGTCGAGCCCTGTCCGTACCTATCTCTCCGAGTTTGATAATGAGTCAATCTCAAATTCGCTCATCAGCAAAGCCTATAGTTCGCCTTGTACAATGGACAAATGTCTTAAAATCACACTAAGTCCATAATCAGTAAGAAGGAGGTTTTAATATAGTTAGCAGAATTACCAAAGAAACAAAATATATTTCCTCCTTGCTTAATTGACCATTTGATCTCAGCTAGATACTAAATGAAACTGATTCCACGCTATTTTGGATGAAATATTCTTCAAACTACACAAGAAGTGATTTCAGGGATTGTAAAAAAATCTAGTCTATTTTTCAGTGATAATGCATAATCCCTGAAAATTCCAGTGATTATGTATACTGTGTAATCATGCTAACATGTATAAGCGCTGACTGAATTTAGACATTATACATAGGCCTAATCATTGAAAATTTCAGGGATTATACATAATCCCTGGTGTTACATATTCATTGTGACGCCATGTTTGCTAACATCGTGAAATTAGTCCCTAAAATTTGCATAAAACCTCTCTAATTTGCATCGATATCAGACGACCTCGACGGATACCGAAAATATCCGGAATCAACGCACTCAGCGTTGTATCCTGTCAGTTATATGTTTACCGCCTGCAAAACACGCGCGCGCGCACGCACACACACACACACACACACACACAACGTCTCTCCTCGGATATTGAAGGATTATATTCAACCACTTCCAGTATCTTTGAGGCTTATGTCCTTTTTCTCCCGATGCTGTTTCTGCTCTCCTCCATATCCTGCAGGGCGGTGGAGAGGTCTAGTGGTTAAAGTGTGGCTCGTCATGCTGAAGACTCGGGTTCCGTTATGTGATGCCCATTTCTGGTGTCAGTGATATTGCTGGAATATTGCTAAAGGCGACGTTGAACAAAACTCACTCATTATGACAATACATAATGTATGTATATTCCACTTCTTGTGGTGTTGAAATTCTTCCTTTTGGCCATACACTTCCAGCATTCCAGTACTGAAAGGTGAGGGATGAATAATTTTGACTATGTTATCCTTATTTCATGTAGATACAAACCCCACCCACCTCCAACACACACACATACCAATGCACACACACATACATCGATAAATACGTACGTACACACGCACATTATGGTGTTATCTGATGGCATTTACAGACTTTTATGTATAGAGTGAGTGAGTTTAGTGTTACGCTCAGCAATATTAGCTTTATGGCGGCGGTCTGTAAATAATCGAGTCTGGACCAGACGATCCAGTGATCAACAGTATGAGCATCGATCTGCACAGTTGGGAACCGTTGACACGTGTCAACAAAGCCAGCGAGCCTGACCACCCGATCCCGTTAGTCCCCTCTTACGACAAGCATGGCTCATTCTAACCGGGACCTTCAAGGATATTTTTCAATAGAAATATCATTGATTATTTTGTATACTTTTACATCAGCACAACTGTACCTATGAAAGTCACACATTAACTACATGTACTGACCCTGTAAATAAGTGAAAAAATAGTTAAATTTGTTATTTTTAAAAATGAACTCACAATCAATATACTAGTGGTGAGGAAGCCCAGTGGTTAAAGTGTTCGCTCGTCACCGAAGACCCGGGTTCGGTTATGTGAAGCCTATTTCTAGTGTCCGTGATATTACTGGAATATTGCTAAAGCGATGTTGACCAGACCTCACTCACGAATTACAATAATAATAATGATAATTATAAACAACAACTGTGACGTGGTTGACTGACAGATTTATTGCACACAGTAAGCTACACAACGACGGCAGCAACTGCATTACTAACAGCTACAGCAGAGTATAGGTCAAGCTTGTTAACAAAGAAAAAAAACAATCTTTAAGACTTCGTTGATGAAGAACATCACTGAAATGGTGAAATGGGACCTATCTTTGTCACAGCACTCTGCTGGTAATTTGAAAGCAGTAAGTAAATACTGAAATATTAGACTGGCAATGATATGTAACACATGGGGAGATTCCATTTCTTCTGTAAACTATCACAATATCTGATACTGTTTAACCAAACCCCATTTCAAATAATACAAGGGTTATTAAAGGGACTTAACACAGATGTGTCACTGGACATCATATACAGCAGGGTTGTCTCCCTTTGTTTAACATCTCCAATATCACAAGTCTCACACAGACAAAAGATTGTGCATAAAAGTAGATATGTATAACAAGCAAAATACTTAATGAATAAACTACATGTTAAATAATACACTAATAAAGGCAGTAAATACCACAGCTATAAATGCATATATTATGTGTGTGTATATATTATGTATATGTAACCCACACTGGTGAAGAATGAGGATATTATGCTCATAGCTCACATAAGACTTGCTGTGAATTGCACTGGAGCCTGGGTCTTCACTTGCTAGGTCTGCAATGGTCTGTGACTATCCTCAAAACTAAAATACTCCCTTGACTGTCTGGTGAAAGATGGACAGAATTTGAGATAGATTTGGAATCTAACCCAGGCCCCATTCCAAAAAGTTAAGCACAAGGACAGCTTTGTGGAGTGGAACAGGGTCCAGGACAAAGCATCAACTGAGCGATGTATAGCTCTAGTTCTTCCCCTTAATATCTTCATAAGGATCACTCAGAAGACCCGGGTACAATATGTGAAGCCCATTTGTGGTGCCCCAAACCCTGCCATGATATTGCTGGAATATCGGTATTGCTAAAAGCGGCGTAAAACCATACTCAGTTAGTCTTCACAAGGACCAGTTGACAGCCTTGGTTCCCATTCCACAAAGTTAAGCACCAGGACAGTTTTGTGGAGTGGATCTGGGTCCAGGACAAAGTGTCCACTGAGCGATGTACAGCTCTAGCACTTCCCATTAATATCTTCATAAGGACCAGTCGACAGCCCAGGTCCCAATTCCACAAGGTTAGGCACTAGGACACCTTTGTGGAGTGGAAGCGGTCCAGGACAAAGTGTCGTGGAAGCGATGTACAGCTCCAGCACTTCCCTTAATATCTTCATAAGGACCAGTTGACAGCCTTGGTCCCCTGATGATTCCACAAGGTTAGGCACTAGGACACCTTTGTGGAGTGGAAGCGGTCCAGGACAAAGTGTCCACTGAGCGATGTACAGCTCCAGTACTTCCCTTAATATCTTCATAAGGACCAGTTGACAGCCTTGGTCCCCTGATGATTCCACAAGGTTAGGCACTAGGATGGCTTTGTGGAGTAGAATGGGGTCCAGGACAAATTAAGTGTCCACTTAGCGATGTACAACTGTAATATCTTCACAAGGACCAGTTGACGGCCCTGGCAAGTCCAAGTCCCTTTGCTCAAGGTGCAACACTCCACCAATACTACAGACTATAAGGAGGCAGTACAACACAGGCAGCTACACCGCTGTAAACATGGGCATACAGGCAAGCACACAAGATGTGCAGCATTAGGCAATACAAGGGCATGGTGTCTGTTAACATTGCAACATTGAATAAGACAATCACTGTAAACTAACAGAAAGGGCAAGAAGTATACCATGATCATTAAGTGCCTAATGTAGCTTATACAGAGATACAAAGAGTACATTAGGTGCTGGGGCATTGTTATAAAGAGTGCATTATGTATATGGACATTGTTATAAAGAGTGAATCAGATACAGATCATTGTTACAGAGAGTACATTAGGTACTTAGGGCATTGTTATAAAGAGTGCATTAGTTGCTGGGACATTGTAATAAAGAGTGCATTAGTTGCCGGGGAATTGTTATAAAGAGTGAATTAGATACTGGGGCATTGTTACAGAGAGTACTTTAGGGCATTGTTATAAAGAGCATATAATTAACTGGGGACATTGTTATAAAGAGTGCATTAGATACTGGGGCATTGTTACAGAGAGTACTTTAGGGCATTGTTATAAAGAGCATATAATTAACTGGGGACATTGTTATAAAGAGTGCATTAGATACTGGGGCATTGTTACAGAGAGTACTTTAGGGCATTGTTATAAAGAGCATATAATTAACTGGGGACATTGTTATAAAGAGTGAATTAGATACTGGGGCATTGTTACAGAGAGTACTTTAGGGCATTGTTATAAAGAGTGCATTAGTTGCCGGGGCATTGTTATAAAGAGTGAATTAGATACTGGGGCATTGTTACAGAGAGTACTTTAGGGCATTGTTATAAAGAGCATATAATTAACTGGGGACATTGTTATAAAGAGTGAATTAGATACTGGGGCATTGTTACAGAGAGTACTTTAGGGCATTGTTATAAAGAGCATATAATTAACTGGGGACATTGTTATAAAGAGTGCATTAGATACTGGGGCATTGTTACAGAGAGTACTTTAGGGCATTGTTATAAAGAGCATATAATTAACTGGGGACATTGTTATAAAGAGTGAATTAGATACTGGGGCATTGTTACAGAGAGTACTTTAGGGCATTGTTATAAAAGCATATAATTAACTGGGGACATTGTTATAAAGAGTGCATTAGATACTGGGGCATTGTTACAGAGAGTACTTTAGGGGCATTGTTATAAAGAGCATATAATTAACTGGGGACATTGTTATAAAGAGTGAATTAGATACTGGGGCATTGTTACAGAGAGTACTTTAGGGCATTGTTATAAAGAGCATATAATTAACTGGGGACATTGTTATAAAGAGTGCATTAGATACTGGGGCATTGTTACAGAGAGTACTTTAGGGCATTGTTATAAAGAGCATATAATTAACTGGGGACATTGTTATAAAGAGTGCATTAGATACTGGGGCATTGTTACAGAGAGTACTTTAGGGCATTGTTATAAAGAGCATATAATTAACTGGGGACATTGTTATAAAGAGTGCATTAGATACTGGGGCATTGTTACAGAAGAGTAGTAGGGCATTGTTATAAAGAGCATATAATTAACTGGGGACATTGTTATAAAGAGTGCATTAGATACTGGGGCATTGTTACAGAGAGTACATTTGGTTCTTGGGGCATTGTTATAAAGAGTGAATCAGATACAAATCATTGTTACAGAGAGTACATTAGGTACTTAGGGCATTGTTATAAAGAGCATGTAATGTACTGTGGACATTGTTATAAAGGGTGCATTAGATACTTGGGCATCGTTATAAAGATTGCATTATTTATAAGGAGATTGTTTTAGAGTTCATTATGTTGAGGGACATTGTTTTCAAGAGTGCCCTATATAGCGGGGACATTAGTATTGTCAGAACAGTGGTAAATGTTATGTTATACACTACAAATTAAAACACCAGTGTTATATTTCGTCATGTTTGTGTTTCAAAATGTTATATGTTATGTTTGTATAATTACAATAAAATACATTGTAATAACCCAATTAAATTATTACCTACCAGTCTCTTAATTCAACATGAAAGTAGTTCCGAAAATGTGTTTAGAAAATACATCTGAAATGACAACATTGACCCAGATTATCAAACACAAATATCAAACATACAGTTTTGACATGAGACTTTTGTGGACGACATCTTTAATGTAATCCAAAAAGGTTCCATGCTTCCTGTTCTCCCCAGCTGTGAATACCTATCTAGAACTTCATACTCTTTCTTCTGAATAATGTATTAAACATTAGTGCTGGGAATTCGTTGAAATCTCACAATTGATGATTGCTTCATTACCAACGAACAATCATCGAAAAAAATTGGTTAGCATCATTTTTCAGATTTTCCTACCAAGGGTGTTATTGCAGATACGTATAACATGATGCAACTTGCTACTTTAAAGTGCTGAGTAATATATCATGAACATAAACTTTCTGGAGTCTTCAAGAAATATTCAGTCATGACTTTTCAGTTAGTGAAGTGAGTTTCTAAGAATTAAACAAGTTTTCAGGCCCTGACAACTTCGAAGATATGTTCCATCGTCAAGTGTTTCAAACACTAAAACAGCAGTTCCAAAATCGTTTGTGTTGATTATGAGAAATTGTGATCGATTGCTTGGTCGTTTGGTCACTTCGTCCATCACAGCAGATTGTAGCCTGGAAACTGGTTATTCTAAAGTATGACAAGGGATTGTATTCCATACATAAATTCACTTCAAGCAGATTTTATTCCGTACATAATTTCTACTGAAGCGTAACAGAAGATTATTCCCTAAATAAGTTCTACTGAAATGTGACAGAGAATTGTATTTCCTAAATACGTTCTACTGAAACGTGACAGAGAATTGTATTCCTTAAAATAAGTTCTACTGAAGCGTGACAGAGGACTGTATTCGCTAAACAAGTTCTACTGAAGCGTGACAGAGGACTGTATTCGCTAAACAAGGTCTACTGAAACGTGACAGAGAATTGTATTTCCTAAATACGTTCTACTGAAACTTGACAGAGAACTGTATTCCTTAAAATAAGTTCTACTGAAGCGTGACAGAGGACTGTATTCGCTAAACAAGTTCTACTGAAGTGTGACAGAGGACTGTATTCACTAAATACATTCAACTGATGTGTGGTTGAGGACTATATTCCCTGAATAAGTTCTACTGAAAAGCAACAGTGAATTGTATTCCATAAATAAGTTCTACTGAAGCAGTTGCAGATTGTGTTCTTAATACAAGTCCTTACGAAGCGTGACAGTGAGTTATATTGCAAACAAGTTGTACAATAAGGTAACAGAAGACAGCAGTCTACGTAGTAACAACATTCATAGCCTCTAACATCACACATGACAATACCAATACATCCAATGTTGAATTACATAAACAATAGAAAGACATCTTTACCTGCATAGTGTCTGTAGTCATGGTGACAAGAATGTTGTCATGGCAACAAAATGAGATACCACTGGCTCAGATCTTAAGTTGGTCTCACAGTTAAAGTTCTTATGAACTATAAGTGTCAAATGATCAGGATAGTCGCCTTCCCGTGGTGAGAGATACCTTCATAGATTTGATAGAAACCTGGCCCAGGTATTGACACAAACAAGGATCCAAGTACCTGACACTGGGGTGGGACTAACATTTTCTTCCTGAAAATTCAGGTTAGAAATACATGTAAAAGGAATCAACAATTTGTGCAAAGTACACACTGGAAGTCTTCAAAATATGTGTTGTGAACCAAAAGAAAACTGATTCCTTTCACAGAAATAAACTGTATAAGTTGGACTGGTGAATAAAGAAATATTATCTTTTTAACACAAATTCTTGGCCTTCAAAAAATATGAAACGGTCAGTACCTTATTTGTCTACTTCACCCTTACCAGAATTTAGAAATACAAATCTACAATAATACTGCCCCCTGCGAGAATATACAGATTTGATAAAGACAAAGAGTACCAAAACAGCACCGGTTCCAACCTTGTTGTCATGGCAACTCTTTGGCAGAAAAACGGTAAGATGGCAGTGGCAGATGGATGGAATCATTGCAACAAGGTTACCAATCAAAACAACCAGTACCAGTCACTTGTTCATACTTAGAGCGGATTCTCTTGCACGTCCTGTTCAAGTTGTTTAAACATCCCTTTGTCCACTAACAAATGTAATGATGTATGTTAATCTGACCATTACAAAGAATCTATGTTTTCACAGAGAATGTACCTCTGCACCAACACGATATCATTTAAATGTAATATTTTTCAGAAAACACTGGAAACAACTTCTGTAGCAAGTTTTTCAAAAACAGTTCTGGACATGATGTCCTGTGAATACTGTCGTATAAAACATCTATTTGTTTTCTATGTCTTTCGGAGGAAACTATTTGGAAACCTAAATCAAAAGCCTGGGTGACTAGTCTCACTGTGAGGACCCTTCAAACCTTCTGTGGAATAGAACCAGGTTTATGTACATGCTGGCTATACTCTATCTCACCATCGTGGTAGCAAAGGCCGTTTGTTCACCTAACACCAAAGAGGGTGGGGTTGCTCACAGATACTGTCTAGAAGCTTAATGTCGAGGGATGTCAAAATATAATCCGGCTTATTGCTGGAGACTGGATTTGATGGGTGTTTGAAATTATCTTAGCACAAGCTTCCCTAGCAGCTGTTATGATGCATTTTGAGACACACCAAGGCGAGAAATGATATAAATCATCTAATTTGGAGACGGAGGCTGGATGCTGTGAGGGTGTGGGGGCGTACTATTGTCGTGTGAGAGAGATAGTGTGTGTTGTTATAATGCTGTTACTAGGTATTGGATTTTAAAGCTACTGGTTCAGTAAGGACACAGAGTTATTTTGCATGAAGTCAAGGAGAAAAAGCTTTCATGTTCTTTGGACAAAGAAACTGTCTGGATCTCTCCTAAAACAGCTGCCTACAAACGTGAACTCCAAATTTTTTAATTCAAAAAGAAAAGACTTAGTTGCCACTTAAAAACAATTTCAGTTTTCAATATTGTTCCTAATACATGTACATATTTTTGGTGGTCTTAATATAATGGGCTACTTAAATCAACTTCTTTGAGTGGCATTTTTAGAAGTTGGAAGTACAATATAGAAGGTGGAAGCCAATGATGTATGAACATCTCATTATTTGTACATCAGTGGCTTCCATGCCTTTCCTTTGCCAACTCACGGGCTTCATCAGCTTACTGCCTAGCAAATTATGTTAATCATGTTGTTTTCTTTGTTACATTGTTACATTCAGTACATGTACATCCCACCCTCTTAAAGTCCCATTCCTGCTTGACAACAGTACAATAATCTGATTCGAAACATCGCACTCACAAATAAAAGACGTTCTTTTCCATAAAGTTTGTTCTATATTAAATCATTGGTACTCACTGCTGATTTGGCCTGGATGAGTGAGCAAGTATTAGTTTACAAAGGTTTTATCAATATTCAAGCGACATTGTGGTAAGGGACATAAAAACTTTGGCTTCACACACACTGCATATTACCGTAGATAAGCCAACCAAAAAATACCCATGTGATGAATCATACAAAAGACTTCAGAGTAACAATTCAACACTTTAATCATTTGATGCCCCCCGCCCCACTTTCTTACCCTCATACTTACATGTAAGCCAGTGCTCGATTTAAGAGATGTAAACCTGCTTGCACCAGGTGCAACCTAAGATAAAAACCTGGTTGCACCAGCCAAATTCCAGTTGCAATGCTTTTATGGCAATATGTAATGAAAGAAATGTTATTGAATTATGTAGATGTTTTATTTAGAAGTTTACCCACTCAAAAATTGACTTGCACCTGGTGCAAGTTAGACTAAGACCTAGCTTGCACTTAGTAATATTGGATTGCACCAGTGCAAATAACACAGCACTAAATCGAGCCCTGTAAGCCTATTCTACTAACTTTCAAATTGTCAGTCTAACGACCGCACTCAAATGACTCTGAGATTAAACCTAACAAATAGCACCGATCTTGTATTGATTCAAATAATCAAGTACAAATATCAATATTTCAAGGTACATGTATTTGTACATATCTTTTTAAGGAGAATAATATATGGGTTTGCATT